GCCTGCGGCTGTAAAACAAAGTATCCCCACCAGCCCGTCCAGAAACGACGCCCAGGCGAGTAGAGGGTCGTCCTGAGGGGCTTTTCGGCGTCTTGGGCGCCTCGGGGGGGCCTCTGTGGGCCGTTCGGAATCCTCTTTGGGGCCTCCTGGGGGCCTCTTGGGGCCTCTTGGGGCCATCTTGGGGCCTCTGGGAGCACCTTGGGTGCCTCTGGGGGGTCTCTTGAGGCCTCTTGGGGGTCTCTTGGGGGCCTCCTGGGGGCCTCTTGGGGGGCCTCGTGGGGCCATCTTGGGGCCATCCTGCGGCCTCTTGGGGCATCCTGGGGGCCTCTTGCGGCCATCGTGGAGGAAATCGATCAAAGAAGGAGGGTTCCTAAATTTCAGCCCCCCCCCTCAGAAGGCTAAGATGGGGCCGCAACCATCGTAAAATCAATGATTTTGGCTTCCTCGCCGAGGCCGTCTTGGGCGCTCCAACGCGCCGCGGATACCCCTGTCCAGGTCAGTGGGGCGGGGGTAGGGCCGAAGGGGAAGAAGGAGGGGTGGAAGAGGAAACTCCTTAAACCACCGACGCCCAGAGGGCTGGTGGGATTACTGTTGATTCCCCCTGCGCGGTAACCGTTGCATTTGTTCAATTAAATTGCTTCTTCCGTGGCTCGCACCCGGTCTCTTACAAGGGAAAATGAGGTGTCACCAAATTGGTCCCATAGCCCCTGGTTTACAACAACAGCGGCTGCCGCTTGATATCTCTTCACAATCTATTTGAAAATCACGCCCTCGCGCGGGATTTCCCCACATTGTTAATCGGACTCGCGCTCTTGCCTGGGATTTCCTCACAATTTATTCAGACGCCGCGACCTCGACACTCAGGAATCACGCTCTCGCTGTGGATTTCCTCACGATTTATTTGGGAATCGCGCTATCACTCGAGACTTCCTCGCGATTCATGCAGGACGCACGCTTCAGCAATCCTCCAGCCCTTTGTCCCTTCCTTCCGTTCGTCCTCTCTTCCCCTGCCGTAGGGGCTACACGAAGTACGCGTTGCAGGTAAGAAATATATACCCCTAACGGGGGTACGATCGAAGACGAAGAGGTTGAGTATCGAGTGTTTGGGAGATACGTGTTATTGCACGCAAGCAGGTAAGAGCGAGCAATATTAAAACGATTGTTGTTGTTGTTGTTGTTGTCGTCGTCGTTGTTGTTCTCGTTGCTGTTGTTGCTGCTGTTGTTGTTGCTGTTGTTGTTGCTGTTGTTGTTGCTGTTGTTGTTGTTGCTGTTGTTGTCGTTGCTGTTGTTGTGGTTGCTGCTGCTGTTGTTGTGGTTGCTGTTGTTGTTGCTGTTGCTGTTTCTGTTGTTGTGATTGTTATTTTGTTGTTGAGCTTTCATTTCTGAAAAAATATGGTTGGTCCCCCTCACCGGTGCATACCGTTTTTCTCAATCAAAGTGTGCCCCTCGACGCTCGCACCCTGTTTTTTTGACAGGGAAAGTCTTGATGCTCAAATTGCGCCCCTGGTTCCCGAGTTACAACAACAACGGCTCCCGCTTGAGACTTCCTCACAATTTAGCCAGGACCCCCAGTCCCGCCAGAGACTCCCTCGCATTTTATTCAGGAATCGCGCTCTCGTTTGGGACTTCCTTACAATGTATTCAGGAATCGCTCTCCCGAGTCGCGCTCTCGCTGGAGACTTGCTTGCAATTTACTGACGAACAGCGCCCTTGCGTTGGAATTTCGTGCAATTTACTCAAGCGCTGCGCTCCCGACACCCAGGCACCCATGAGTCGCGCTCACGCTTAGGACTCCCTCACAGATGACCTAGGAATCGGGATCTCGCTGCCCTTCGTGGCCCCGTTGCAGCCCTTCGTGGCCCCCTTGCTTTGTTTCGTGGCCCCGTTGCAGCCCTTCGTGGCCCCCTCGCTTTGTTTCGTGGCCCCGTTGCAGCCCCTCGTGGCCCCGGTGCAGCCCTTCGTGGCCCCGTTGCAGCCTTTCGTGGCCCCGTTGCTCCCCTTCGTGGCCCCGTTGCAGCCCTTCGTGGCCCCGTTGCAGCCCTTCGTGGCCCCGTTGTAGCCCTTCGTGGCCCCGTTGCAGCCCTTCGTGGCCCCCTCGCTGCCTTTTGTGGCCCCATATATGTATGCCCTTCGTGGCCCCCGCTCGTTCGCGCCTGTGGTGGCCCCATATGCATGCCCTTCGTGGCCCCGCTGTCGCCCTTCGTGGCCCCCTCGCTCCCCTTGGAGGCCCCGTTGCTGCCCTCAGTGGCCCCGTCCTTGCCCTTCGCGGCCCAACATACGTATGCCCTTCGTGGCCCCCGCTCGTTCGCGCCCGTTGTGGCCCCATTTGCATGCCTTTCGTGGCCCCGCTGTCGCCGTTTGTTGCCCTTTCACTGTCCTACGTGGCCCAGTTGCTGCCCTCAGTGGCCCCATCGTTGCCTTCTGTGGCCCCGCATTATCTGCCCTTCGTGGCCCCCGCTCGTTCGCGCTCTTCGTGGCCCCATACGCATTCCCTTCGTGTCCCCGCTGTCGCCCTTCGTGGCCTACTTCGTTTCCTTCGTGGCCCTGCTGTCGTTTT